AACAGCCAATACTTACAATACTTAAAAGTAAAATAGCGACATCCCCAGTGACTCAGCGATAAAGAATCTGACTGCAATGCAGGAGATGCAGGAGACAGGGGTTTGATCCCTGGGTCAGGAAGATTTCCTGGAGGAGGGCATGGCAACCCACTCCAGTATTCTTGTCTGGAGAATCCCATGGACAGAGGAGACTGGTGGGCTACATAGGGTAGCAAAGAGTCAAAAGCAACTGAGCAAACATGCACACAAAAGTAAAATAGCAGCAGAAACATTCTTCTTAAAGGTAAGACCAAGAAGGATAACATCATAATTATTCATTTTATGCTATTCTGAAGTTACTGCCAATGGAAAAGGGCAGAAAAAAGAAATAAGAAATATACTTATTGGAGAAGAAAGAAAAATTATTATTTACAGTCAGTATGTCTATCTAGAAAACTCATGAGAATAAATTTTAAAGTTATTTGAGCTAGTTGGAGAGTTTAAAAAATTACCAGTAACAAAAATTAACACAGAAATATTTACTAGATTCCAGAAATTATCAATTAAAAAAGCACAATGGAAAAAGTTCTGCCCACCAGAGTAACAGAAGTTATAATATCCAGGAATAAATTTAATAAAATCTCTGTTAGAGCTACATGAAAAACAACTGGACAATTTTACTGAGGGACGTTAAAAAGTCTTAAATTGATGCTGCTGCTGTTTTCATGAATAGTGAAATAGAAGAGTATAAAAATATCGATAGTCCCCAAATCAATGTATTTATACACAAATTCCCAATTATTTTATAGATCTAGTTATGACCTTACCTACATACATGAGCTTATTCTTATAAAAGTCAAGGGGAAAAAAACTGAAAAAAATGAGAGGGAATTTGTACCATCAGAAAGCTATCTTATTATAAGTGTACATTTGTATATTCACAGATAGAGATAGAACCAGAAATAAACTCTAGTACAATTCAGAACTTAGAATATGGTAAAGTTGATGTTTAAATGGGTGAGAAAATGGTGGATTACCCACTGGATGAGACGGGATGGATTTACAGCCTCTGCTAGATCAGTGTTAAGTGCCTGCTGCGTTTGCCAGGCTCCCCTTCCCCCTGACCTGCTGTCCCTGTCTCCTAACGGCCCAGCTCCTCCAGCCTCCCAGGCACAGCCGCCTTTGCTCTTTCTGCGGCACAAAACCACAGAGGTTCTAGCAGCCACGTAAGACTTCGCTGAGTCCATGGAGCCCAGACTTCCGGGCAGCTGCCTGGAACGTTTGCATGATGCAACTCTGAAGCACAAACCTTGACCATCAAAAGAAAGGAGATGGAGAACTGACAGATCAGTTCCTTTCTCCTCCCCACCCCCTGCTGCACTGGACTCATAGATCAGCTGAGTCAGCCTCTGCCTCTCTGACATCCTGCATCTGGAATATGGCTGTGTTTTCCTCTGAAACTGGTGCTGTCCTGGTGACAAAGCACCACCTTTGATTTTCTTTCCTCTTTCCCCTCTTTACTTCCTCATTTTCCTTTTCTCACTCTTGATGCCCTGGGACCCCTCCCCCTGCAAGCCTCCAATATGCAAGCTTTTCCTCAGGCTCGGCTTTTCAAGGAACTGGGGCTCAGACACATTCCTTCTTCACATGTCATCCTAAAATACATCCTAGATGGATTAGAGCATTACAACATAAAAATAGTGCATAAAAGATGAAACAAAACATTAGTGTGTCTGTCTATAAACATGTAAGTTACAGAGGTATGGGAAATCTTTCTAATCTAAGAATATGATAGATTTGACTTTATAGAGTCTTAAACCTTTGCAGAAGTATTGTAAACAAAATAAACTAGCAAGAAAATATTAATGCCTGAAGCAGAAATAGGTTAACATGTATTAATAGATTGGTATAGGTTAATATGTAAAAAGGACTTAATAAATACATTTTTAAAATCTTATCAGAAAAAAAATAGACTAAGAATTTGAACAAGTAATCCACAAAGAAACACAAAGGATTGAAAAGTGTATGAAAGAAAAAAAAATTCAGGCTTACTAAAATCAAGGAAATACAGATGAAAACAATAATAATTTATTATTTTCCTCTAACAGATTTGCTAAGATTAAAATCAAAGGCAGTGGCCCAAATTGGGGAGGGTGCAACCATGCTTTCACAAACTACTGGGAGGTCTGTAATTTGGTACATTCTTTTTGGAAATACATATCAAAAGCTTTAAATTTTTTCCTTATCCGTTAAACTAATAAATCCACATATAAAAGTTTATCTTAAGGAAATGATCAGAGATCCAAGACTTATGTTGAAAGACATTTAGAGCAATATGATTTTTTATTGTTGTCATAAATAGCTGGAAACAAGACAAATACCAAAAAAGGGACTGGATAAATAGATTTTTGAGTGTTAATAAGATGGAATTCTCTTCACCTATTTAATATTTTCATATATGAAAAGTTTGTGGGAAAATGCCCTCCACATACACTGAAATATGAAAAACTGCTTATAAAATAATGTAAAATAAAAATTTAAGTATTTAGAAAAACCCAAAGAACTTACACAGTATGTGTAACTCTCTTCTCTCTTTTAACATCTTCTCCAAGACAAAGCTAAACTCAACAGGATCTTTGGAATGTTTAGAAGCACAAACATTAAAAAAAAAAAGAATGAATCACTAAGTGTGTTTTTCCTAGAATAATTTTTGCTAATTTCCTAATCATAAAATAATTATTTTAAAATTATTTTGAGCCATAGACCTAAATGTAAAACATGAAACTATAAAAATTCTAGAATAAAACATAAGATAAAATCTATAGGAATTTGAGATAAGAGAAGATTTCTTAGGACATAAAAGTCTCAAACCATTTTACAATTTTAGAATAAAAAGTGACAACTGGACTTTATTAAAATTTTGCTCTTCAAAATATACTTTTAAGAAATAAAGCAAGCAAGCCACAATGAAAGAAAATATTTTCAATGCATATTTCTAACAAAGTTTATCTAGAATAGATGAAGAATCCTTATACCTCAATAAGACGATAACCCAGTTTTGAAAATAGGCAAAATATTTGAACATACAGTTTACAGAAGAAGATATACAAATGGCCTAAGCAATGAAAATAAGATCAAAACCATTAGTTATCATGGAAATGCAAATTAAACTACATACCCACTAGAAGGGGCTTCCCTGGTGGCTCAGTTGGTAAAGAAGCTGCCTGCAATACAAGAGACCCGGGTTTGATCCCTGGGTCAGGAAGATCCCCTGGAGAAGGAAATGGCAACCCACTCCAGTCTTCTTGCCTGGAGAATCCCATGGACAGAGGAGCCTGAGGAGGCTGACAGGCTACAGTCCATGGGGTCACAGAGTTGGACATGACTGAGCAACTAACACTTCACTTTTCATAAAGCATAGCAATCTCTACAAGTTTGTGCTCTATTAGCTGGTTCCATATTCATGTTGTGAATGGCAATTTAGTTTCAAGGAAACAAAAATCTTCTGCTGCATAAGATATATACTTTAAATCAATATTGGAAGTCTACGAAGTTTTTTGTTTCTCTTTTACCTTAAAAGTAGCTTGAAGGAGCTTAACTAGGTAACATGTCATGTGCCTAGTTGATTGTTNGTGTGTGTGTGTGTGTGTGTGTGTGTGTGTGTGTGTGTGAGAGAGAGAGAGAGAGAGAGAGAGAGAGGCAGAGACAGAAATGAGAAAGAAGAGACTGAAGATTCCAAAATGCTGGAGGGAGAGGGGTTGGTAAAGAGAAAGTTCCAGAGGTGTGGAATCCAGAGGACAGGTAGAGATATGGGACTTAGCAAGTGAGGATAGGATATTGGGAAATTTGAACTGAACTCATGAGAGTCTCAAGTAGCCTTGTCCAATAACCTCAGACGTTCTACAAATGAAGAGTAATATCTTCTGAGAGATGGTCCTGGATGGGCTGATAGTTGAGGAGAGTGCATGCACTATAGAAGTCAGTAAGAAATTAATAAAGCATTAAACTGAAATAGGGGAGGGTCAGTGGAAGTGCAGGTAACTCCAGGACAAGGGGAGTCCTCTTCTACTCTCTGTGGGCTTTCAGACCCCATCTTCTATGATGTCCATGAGGGAGAGGGCAATGCTGACCATTGATTATCATGCCACCTTAATTTCTCAAATCCAAACTTCACGAATATTTGTCAACTTTCTCAACTTTCAAAGTGAAGAAATTAGGAAATGGAGTTTCTTCTGCCCCGATTATTGATAGGTCTTTGTCTGATTTTCTTAAGAATCACCATATGTGGTCTCTTTCCAGCTGATGGAGGTATGATACTCATGATGTAGATCCATCTCCAGTAAGCAGTATGCTCAATCTTTCCTTGTAAAAGGGATGCATTATTTTGCATATAACAAGTCCATTGACGATCCTTTGCTTTCTACCGGCAAGATGAAAACATAGTCCTACTAAGGAGGATCCCACATACCTACTAATTGGGTTGTGAGTTTGGAAGTGTAGCTAAGAAGATCTGTGCCAAGTAAATGTATTATAATGACTTTGGTCTTTATCATCGGTCTTAGATAATTGTACCACAGCTGACATGACTTTCTTCCAGAGGCAGACTATTAGAATGAATGACATAATAATGCCATGATTAATCTGACCTAGCCCTCATGGGAGGGTGAAGAGGTACAAATTCACAGGCTGCTATAACTACTGTCAAATGCTCCATCAACAAGGCATTTGGGGGTAAAGCATCAATCCTAAAATACACTGTTAAAAATAACACCTGGTGGAAATAAGTGTGTGGCCCTCTAGACCCTGATAAAGAGGGCAATTAACAAAAGAATGAGATTGAAAATTCCAAAATACTAGAGATTAATAGGAAGAGAGAAATATCCCAATGGCCTCTAGAGGAATAAGATCAAGACACACATGGGAGAATAAGGCTTGGAAAGCTCGGTTTGGAGGGTTTTAAATGCATTACATTTATCCTCACAGCTCTAGGAGACAGTATTACTATTGCCTCTATTTTTCAGGTAAGAACACTGAGGCCCACAAAGATGATATGGGCATATTCACAAAGCTAGTAAGTGGAGGAAGAAGAATTTTCATCTGTACAATGTGAGCTGGAACTCGTTTAGGTATGTTATGCTTAGTGGGTAATATGGTGCTATGCATGCTAAGTCGCTTCAGTCGTGTCTGACTCTTTGCTATCCCATGGACTGTAATCGGCCAGGCTCCTCTGTCCATGGGGATTCTCCAGGCAAGAATACTGGAGTGGGTTGTTATGCCCTCCTCCAAGGGATCTTCCTGATCCAAGGATCAAATCCACCTCTCTTACATCTCCTGTATTGGCAGGCAGGTTCTTTACCACTAGCACCACCTGGGAAACCCTAGTAGGTAATATGTTATATCAAAAGTATTAATAGCTAGCATGGTATCCATCATATGATAGACGCTTAAGAGGTGCCAAAAATGTTATTCAGTATTAGTTTATTTGGATTCCATAGTAAAACAAACCAGCTGGTGTCTATAGATTTTAAAGTGTCAAACCAATAACAAATGGCAATCCTTAAACACAGTATAAAGGGGAAACTAACATACACACTCTGTTCTTCCTGTCCTGTGCAGTCAGTGTGGCTGATATAGCACCTACTCAGCAAACTAAAGTTACACAGCGTGTTTGTTGGAGATCCCAGGTGGGTGAGGAGGGCAAGAAAGAGGAGCCTGCTTTCATCCGTCACATAGAGTTCTTTGCTTTACCCTCACCATTTTAAAATGACCAGTTAAATCAATAACTTTGACGTGGAAGTGGGATGATTCAAACTTGTTAGGCAACACATGGAAAAGATAATCAAATCAGTTGGCTGATAGCCTCCAACCAGTGACTGCAAAATTAAGAAAGGAGCTCCAACCAGTTGCTTATTTCTTGCAGACTCTAAAGTCCTAGCTATTTTATTGAAGGAATTTTACATAAAGGCATATGTGGGGGTTTGGCCCATTAATTGTTCTCTTTTAGACAGAGAGTGTCATGAGGAGCTGGTGTGGGGTGTAAACGTGGGGAAGGTGCACACTTGACTTCATACTTTCTGGTACTTCTTGCTGGATTAATCGCCAAAGAACCATACTTAATGGTGTATTTGCTTGAGGAATACTTGCAAATTTATATCCTTTCTCTAGTCACATAATATGAAGAAATTTTCAGTAATCTCTTCATTGAATTTGATATCTTATATACCATAAGGAAGTTAGTTCTATGAGAGCAGATTTGTGTTCTAATTTTTTGCCTTTTAGCATGTTTGTCTCTTGCTTGGAACTTTGGGAAGACCATCTGAGGCCTTCAATAGTTGATAAAAGCAAGCTAAAGCAAATAATCACCTTCTGGTACTTCTTTCCGCATATTCTAATTTTTTAATGGAGAAAATGCATTCTTAAATTAAATATGCATAATAAGGAATACTAATAATAAGAATAAAGTGGAATATGTGAGAATGAATCTAGTGTTGTAAGCAAAATGCATTTGATTTGCAAAGGATAAAAGCTGGCTTGAATTAGTAAGAATCAGTGCAAAAAAGAAAAGCCTCGTAATGTTCATAAATTGTCCATAATTGTATGGATTTTAAATATAAAAGTTGGCAGTGGCAAAAGCTAAAAGCCATTAAGAGAGATACCATTGTGCAATGTACTAGGAGCAGCAAGTCACAATCTTATGAAAAAAAATTCTCCCTAGAGTTTTCTAAAATTTTGATAACCATACTTGAGACTTATCTTGATGTTTACTACAATGCCTGCATTGTTCGGCACGGCATGGCCTAATGCATATATGAATCATATTTGAAAAGAGCTACTAATTAACATGAATAGTCTTCTTCTGTGAAGGTCGTTTATTGCAAAGTTCATCCCCCCCCCCCCACTTTTTTTCCTGGCTGACTATCACTAAAGGAGTCCTCAACAACAGCCATTAGTTTAAGAGACTAGTCTGTTTTCTCTCTGACATTGGGTCATAGTTTTAAAGAGTCTTTTTCTCCTGCCAAGGAGCTATAAAAAAAAACAGTATTTAAAAGTAAGAGAGGCAGAAAAGAGAAAACAACCTTTCTGTTATTGAGCAGTACATCCACTCCTTAAATTTTATTCTCTCATCAACTTCTTGTTATAGTATTGAAAGATTATTTAGCAAAACTGTTAGACATAATCTCAGATGAAATCAGTGAGTTGTTCTTTGAAAACTGACTTGCCAGTTCTTCTCTAGGATTCACTGGGATGGTCCCTGAACTGTTTTCCAAATAAATAAAAGCATTTTTGGACTTTGTTCTACTGTTCTGCCCTGGAGGAACTTCCAGAACATTTCACCACTCAGTTTTGGGTCCGGTAGGATTTTTTGGCTTAGATGTTTCAAGCAACTTAGCCAAGATGAAGGGATTCCCAAGGACTGTTGGGAATATTACCCAATGCTGAAAATGTCTCTAAGTTAAATACTTTTGGTTGGAGCTTTGTCTCCATTAGTGATGGTTAATTTTACATATCACCTTGGCTAGGTTATGGTTGCTGTTGGTCAGTTGCTCAGTTGTGTCCAACTCTTCGCAACCCCATGGACCACCACACACCAGGCTTCCCTGTCATTCATCATCTCCCTGACCTTGCTCAAATTCATGTCCATTGAGTTAGTGATGCCATGCAGCCATATTGTCCTCTGTCATCCCCTTCTCCTCCTGCCTTCAAACTCCCAGCATCAGGGTCTTTTCTAATGAGTTGGCTCTTCGTATCAGGTGACCAAAGTATTGGAGCTTCAGCTTCAGCATCAGTCCTTCTAATGAATATTCAGGATTGATTTCCTTTAGGATTGACTGGTTTGATTGATTCCTTTAGGTTTTGGTACCCAGTTTGTTTGGTCAAACTCCTGTCTAAATGTTGCCATGATAAATTTTTTTAAATGTGATTCATATTTAAGTCAGTAGATTTTGAGTAAAGCAGATTATCCTTAAACATGAGCATAGGCCTCATCCAATCAGTTGAAGACTTCAGAGCAAAGACTGAGGTTTCCCAAAGAAAGAAATTCTGCCTCAAGGATTGAAACATGGAAACTCTGCCTGATTTTAAAACTTGCCAATTTGGGGCTCAAGACTGTAATACTTATTCCTACCTAAATTTCCCTGATGGCCTGTTCTATTGACTTGCCAGCCCCCACAAACAAGTGGGTCAAGTCCTTAAAATAAAGTTATCTATCTGTCTCCATCCTAATGGTTCTCTTTCTCTGGAGAACCCTGACTAATCTCATATATCATTCAAGTAAAATTAGTAGCAAGTTTATAGTATAAAACATGTTCTCTTAACTGCTTGACCTATAAGATACAACTGGATTTTAAGCCATGTTTTCATGATATAACAAAAAATTAAAGAGCTGACCACATTGTGATTTTGTCTACATGATACCAGATACCCTATTTGATAAATACGTAAGTTATTTTTACTCATAAATCTGGTTTCAATAAGTCCATAAGAATTTGTCAGCTGTGTGAGGTTTTTGATATCTGAAGACCAGGGAAGCATTGTGTAGCTTTATTAGAAAGGAATGGATCACCCCAGTGAAGCTTGGTTTTTGAAAATAACCAAGAAGCTCTTCTTACACTGCGTTTGTAATACATACCTTTTTCTATTAAGTTTTGAACTGTGTGTTTTAGAAGTTGAAATTAAGTAAAAGGCATCTGATAGTCCCTTTAGCCCATACTTCATTGCCCTTAATACCTCCCACTGCCAGTTAGCCACTGAAAGGGGTAAGATATGGTCAGTAGAGGGGATGAAACCCTTCAGATACCACCTTCCCCATTCATGGAATCAGTCTTCAAAATCATTATGTTTATTGATGGCTCATCACGTATGAATGAATGTCTTACTCAGCTCAACAACAGAAATTTGTTTTCTCACAGTTACGGAAACTGGAAAGTTCAAGAGCAAGGACCAGCAGGGTTTGTTTTCTTTCGAGGACTCGCTTTCTGGCTTGCAGGCAGCCGCCTTTTTGCTGTGTTCTCTTATGGTTTTCCTTCAATGCGTGCATGTGGAAAGACCCTGCCCTTATGATCTCACTTCACCTTAATTACCTTCTAAAGGTGCTGTCTCCAAATACAGTCATACTGGGGCTTAGTACTTCAGCACATAAATTTGGTGCAGGGGGCTTACAGTTCAGTCCTTAGCAACAGGGCTCTCTGTTTTGTACTCAAGGCATTTCTTTATCAAGCGCTCTTCTAAGACTGCAGTGTTGTAGGGGGGATTGAGCAAGTGTGCAGAGGTCTACACCATGAGTCTGAATGTGATACTTGCTCAAAGCAAGAGTCTACAGCACTGTAAGGGATGGGGTGGTCACATGCAGCTGAATGATCAGAAGCTCCTGCCCTTGCTTCAGGCACTGGGTTCAGTTCAGTCCAGTCGCTCAGTCACGTGTGACTCTGCGACCCCATGGACTACAGCACACAAGACTTCCCTGTCTACCACCAACTCTGGGAGCATGCTCAAACTCATGTCCATCGAGTCCCATCCATACACGACTACTGGAAAAACCATAGCTTTGACTACACAGACATTTGTCGTCGTATAGTGACGGGATGGAGAGAGGATTTGCATTTAAATGCTGGCGTAAGAAAAGCAGTTGGGGAAGAACATGAGAATGAACATGGTCAGGGAAGATGGTTGTTTTCAGTTGCCTGGAGCTTCCTGAAGCATAGCAGGGATTGTACTAAGAAGGATAGACCAGAGACCAGACAATGAGGCCAGAGAACAGAGAGACTGAAATTTCAAGGGACTTGATGGGAAGGCAAGTGAGTCACTGAAAACTTTTGTCTTGGGTGGCTCTGGTTATTTTATAAACCTCCTTTCACTGCTACTGATGCAGTGCCTCAAACATCTTTACTAGAGAAGTCTGATTTTATCATTAGGAAACTGATTTTTTGAACATCGGACCAGTCCCTCTCCAAATGGAAACTTGCCCGTGTGCAGAAACATATCTGTAAGGGATGAACCTGAGGGGTTTGGGAAGGCAGTCAAGCAGAAGGAAGGGAAGAGACTCTGAATGAAGTAGTTTCTTCAAATGAAGAGCAGCAAGATGTTGCAGTGTGTTTTCCTGTTTGGGAAGTTTAATTCTTCACGGTTTGCTTGGCTGTCAGAATGCTTCATGTTTTTATTTGTGAACATACATGGTGATCATCCTTAAGACAAAACAGTCTGATGGCAGGTCCCTTGATGCCCATGTTCAGAGCAGATGTTGCCATCAGAGGCGGGCTTTCAGTTCTCACCTCTGATATGTAAACCTCACGAAGCAGCATCTCTCCTACACTCTTCATGTTTCACATAAAACTTCCCTAAGATAATGTTGGAGGAAAGAAGTTGAGCTAGACAAGGTTTAACAGATGTATAGCTCTCTGAGACAGAGCCATCATCAGCATTTAAGCAATTACAGCTCATGAGATGATCAAAATACACAAACTCAACAGGGAAAGAGAAAGAAAAAAGAGATGTACATCCTTAGTTCATCAATACAGAACAGCTCTGTGGACTTAAAAGGTTTAGAAAAATTTTAAACACTGTGCTGGGGGATCAGAGAAGGGTAATGGAAACAGAGAAAAGTGGTCCAAAGACAGTGTCTTCACATGGAAAATACTATGAATGGAAGGATTATGGAACTATATTCAATATTTTATGATAACCTATAAGGGGAAAGAATCTGATATATATATCAGATTCTTTATATACGCATATGACTGAATCACTTTGCTGTCACTTTAATGTAATGCTGTACATTAAAACTAACACAACATTGTAGATCAACTGTATTTCAATTTTTAAAAAAAGGTTTATGGTTCCAGAGCTGAGAAAAGTTTCTCTGTTCATGGGAAATGAATTTTTCTTGTCCCACTTTTCACGAAGGGAGATCTCCTCTCCAGCACCCCTTGCATGGGGCCCTCTCGCCTCTCCTTGACCTCGTCCACAGGCTGAAGCTCATACATTCCAGCTGGTTGTTTGGGCTCTGTTGGACATAACCTAAGTCTGGATGGCAGGGTGAAAATTGGATAAACAGTCACACTGACTCCAGGGAGATTCTTTTTTATACAAACATCTGTTTCTTGAATTTGGCCAAGGTAAGGCCTTGGGGGAGGGGGGATTTCAATTGATGAAATAAGATCAAGAAGATGTTGCCTCAATCGTGTTTTTCCCACTGTTTCAGGGAGTATAAAGCCTGTGTCCCTCCAACATCACAGAGAGAGGGAACGCCTTCCAAGTTTCCTCTGCTACTGGGTTTATGCCCAGTTCTAGTCCAGGTGAGAGCAAGTGAGTGCTTTTTCTGTTACTTTGCTGTCCTACAGATGCAATCTGCTTTGAAAGGAACTCCATGCGTACATATAAAAATATGAGCATAAGGATAAGTAGAGCAATCACAAAGTTTCATTAAGCAGGTCCCATGTCCCTGACTTTGGATAAGATACTAAAGTGTATGGTAGGAACTCCCTGGTGCTCCAGTGGTTAAGACTTCACGCTCCCAGGGCAGGGGGCCTGGGTTCAACCCCTTGAAGGGGAACAGAGACCTCGAGTGCTGCACCGAGCATCCAAAAAAGAAAAGGAAAAGGAAAAAAGTGAAATATGGAGGAATGAATACTTGAACGTAGGAAGTTTAAAGTCTTAATAGGAAATTGAAGTAAAAAATAACAAAAAAGACAACCTAAGATTTGGTACTAAATTGCAGGGTACTGATATGAATCGCTGTGGATATTCATATAGAAGAAGACAGGGTGGGCTCCTGAAGCTGGAGAAGACTTTGCTCAGGCAGCAAGATCTAAGGTGCTGAGAAGCTCGGAGCAGGCAGAGCCCAGGGAGAAGCAGGGAGGAAATGGTGAGCCTCCAACAGAGGTTACTATGTCAGTGGATTGTCCATCCCCTTGCTGTGGGGCAGTGGTATCCCCATTTACCAATGGGGCGATGAAGCTTGGGGACAGGAGAGTAGCAACAACAATAATAGCTAATACTCATTTAGCACTTAACGAGTTCCAGGAACTGTTCTGGGCACTTTGCATATTTTAATTATTTAAGCCTCAAAACAATCCTACCAGGTAGGTACTACTCTCATATCCCATTTAAGCAGGAGGAGACTGGAACCCAGACTAGTTAAGCAATTAGCCCAAGGTCACAGAGGCAGGAAATGGCTGACCTGGGATGAAACCCAAGCCTCTCTCACCCTAAAGCTCACACACTACAGTACGGAAGGTCCGAGGAGAGCAGCAGGGTGGTGAGTAAAATAACATTGGCCTTTGCAGGAGCGGTGAGGTCTCAGTGTTGGGTAGGGTGTGCTTGTGAGACGGGAGGGAAGGTGGGCAGGCATTATTCTCATTTTTAAACATTTTAACTCATGAAAGACCATGATGAACTTTATTATTATTTTCTCCATTTATTTTTATTAGTTGGAGGCTAATTACTTTACAATATTGTAGTGGTTTTTGCCATACGTTGACATGAATCAGCCATGGATTTACATGTATTCCCCATCCCGATCCCCCCCTCCCACCTCCCTCTCCATCCCATCCCTCTAGGTCTTCCCAGTGTACCAGCCCTGAGCACTTGTCTCACGCACATGATGAATTTTAAATGCAAGTCCAAACACCAAAGTTCAGGGTGTGCAGACCATTTCAGAACACCAACATCACATAAATATGCCTCAGCCCTTTGGGTTTCCCTGACAGCTCAGCTGGTAAAGAATCCGCCTGCAATGCAGGAGACGCCAGGGGAAGATCTGCTGCAGAAGGGATGGCTACCCACTCCAGTATTCTTAGGCTTCCCTGGTGGCTTAGCTGGTAAAGAATCCGCCAACAATGCAGGAGACCTGGGTTTGATCCCTGGGTTGGGAAGATCTCCTAGAGAAGGGAAAGGCTACCCACTCCAGTATTCTAGCCAGAGGATTCCATGGAATGTATAGGCCATGAGGTCGCAAAGTCACACAACTGAGTGACTTTCACTTTGGTACAGAAGGAAACTCATTAGAATGTTGGTCTCAAGACTTTGCAACAGTCCAGCCTTCCGCCAGGACCAGTCTTCCCCCAGGAGAAGAGAAACACAAAAGCAGCGATGCCTCCCCACTGTCCCGCAGCTTCTGCTCTTAGGAAGTACTTATTATTAGTTTTTAAAACATTCCTAAGGTCCTATACAGACTTAGATCCCTGAATTCCATGAAGATACAGGATTATGTGTGCTGTCTTTGCATCTCTTGGTAGAACAACCAACCAACCTAATTGGAAAACACACATGACATCAGTTTGGTACTCAGAACGGGAAGAGAGAGAGAAGGAATCAGAGAGGATCCAGGCTAGTTTTTCTTTATCAAAATATCATCCCCTTGGACACTGTATTGCTAAAATCCCATTAGTAATGATTCATTCCTTTGGGTTTCTTTCTGTAATAAAGCCAACAAATCTTCTGATCTGAATGTATCTAATCCAGTTGTTTTAAGCATAGAATCTTAAACAGAATAATTATTTTTCTCAAGTGAATTCTTAATTATTACCTTGGTATGTAACATAAAAGGTGAATTAGCCTGGGGAAATCAGGTACCAATAAAAGAAGGGTTTCTCCACTGGCTTGCTTTTGCTGGGTTCTCCACCTTAGCCCCTGAGACACTGTGGCAGAGTCTCTGGGAGGTGGAACTTGGCATCAACTCTTTCCCATTGCACCTCACTTAAGATGCAATATCTGACTAACTTAATGACTGAAGCATAAAAGGTTTCATTTTTCTCATAAAAATGGAAGTCTGAGGGGCAGTAGGCTGCCAGGGTTGGTTCAGTGGCTCAGAGATCTCAGAGCTAAGGTCTTTGTGAGTTTCTTGCTTTTTGCCTTATGATTTGAAGAAAGTTGCTTCAGCCCCAGACATCGCATTTTTGCTCAGTGCAATAAGAAGATGGAAAGAAAGTGCCAGCCATTTCTGTTCCCTAAAAATCAAGAATCACCTTACCTGAAGTGAAGTGAAAGTCACTCAGTTGTGTCTGATACTTTGCAATCCCATGGACTGAGTCCATGGAATTTTCCAGGCCAGAATACTGGAGTGGGTAGCCTTTTCCTTCTCCAGGGGATCTTCCCAACCCAGGGATCAAACCCAGGTCTCCCGCATTGCAGGTGTATTCTTTACCAGCTGAGCCACAAGGGAAGCCCAAGAATACTGGAGTGGGAAGCCCATCCCTTCTCCAGCGGATCTTCCCGACCCACTGGGCTCTCCTGCATTGCAGGCGGATTCTTTACCAACTGAGCTATGAGGGAAGCCTATCCTGAGAAATCTGTATGCAGGTCAAGAAGCAACAGTTAGAACTGGACATGGAACAAAGGACTGGTTCCAAATCGGGAAAGGAGTATGTCAAGGCTGTATATTGTCACCCTGCTAATTTAACTTCTATGCAGAGTACATCATGTGAAATGTTGGGCTGGATGAAGCAAAAGCTAGAAACAAGATTGTCAGGAGAAATAGCAATAACCTCAGATGTGCAGATGATACCACCCTCATGGCAGAAAGTGAAGAGGAACTAAAGAGCCTCTTGATGAAAGTAAAAGAGGAGAGTGAAAAAGTTGGCTTAAAACTCAACATTCCAAAAACTAAGATCATGGCATCCGGTCCCATCACTTCATGGCAAATAGATGGGGAAACAATGGAAACAGTGACAGACTTTATTTTCTTGGGCTCCAAAATCACTGCAGATGGTGACTACAGCCGTGAAATTAAAAGATGCTTGCTCCTTGGAACAAAAGTTATATAGACAACATATTAAAAAGCAGAGACATTACTTAGCCAACAAAGGTCCATCTAGTAAAAGTATGGTTTTTCCAGTAGTAATGTATGGATGTGAAAGTTGGACCATAAAGAAAGCTGAACACTGAAGAACTGATGCTTTTGAATTGTAGGTGTTGGAGAAGATTCCTGAGAGTCCCTTGGACTGCAAGGAGGTCAAATCAGTCCATCCTAAAGGAAATCAGTCCTGAATGCTCATTGGAATGACTGATGCTAAAGCTGAAGCTCTAACACTTTGGCCACCTGATGTGAAGAACTGACCCACTGGAAAAGACCCTGATGCTGGGCAAGATTGAAGGGAGAAGGAGAAGGAGATGGCAGAGGATGAGATCATTGGATGGCATCACTGACTCAATGGACATGAGTTTGAGTAAACTCCAGGAGCTGGTGATGGACAGGGAGGCCTAGTGTGCTGCAGTCCATGGGGTTGCAAAGAGTCTGACATGACTGAGCGACTGAACTGAACTGAAATGAAAAAATCAAGAAAATAAAGGGTTTCCTGGAGACTTCCAGTAGACTTCTGTTTAGGGCTCATTGGACTGAAATATGTGGCATGGTCACTCTAAGATACAAAGAACTCTGGGAGTATAGTTAGCCATGTTGCCAATTTAAAGAATATTGGAGCTCTATCCTCAAGGAAAAACTATTGGTGTGGCTACTGGATAGCTAACAATATAAAGTATAGCTTGATTTTCCTCTTTATGTACTTCAAGAAGGAAAACATTAGATTTTGAAGTTTTCATTAAAGGAATTACATATAAAATTTTACTAGGAAATTGGTGATTCTCTTTTGATGGAAGCTAGGGAATCTAGATTCCTGTAGGTTGTTAGTGGAGAAAGAAAGCTGAAAGGGGACAGAAGTATAAAGAAAATGATAGAAAGCATTAAAGGTGAATTACTGGCAATTCATAGGATCCTCCACGCAATTTTGAGTGAGTGTACATAATTTGTCTAATAAGATGTCAGGTATCCTGGAATAAATGAGTCTAATAGGATGCAGCTTCTTAAAAAATAGTATGTTTCAAGTATAGGCCGTATAGCTTGTTTAATCAAATATATTTGCCTGATTATCCAGAAAACTGATTTGTTGAGGCTGAACTGAACTGCTAAGACATATGATGGAGTAGAGGCAGAAATTAGTCAAACATGTTTAAAAATACACAAACACACGCTCCCATGTCTCTCCCTTCCTTTTAAGCAGATAGTCAGGGGACAGTTTATCATATCTGTTTTGGGGTACAGTTATGAAACATTTTCAGTGGAGAGCATGAATAAGCGGGAACTTGTCCTGAACAAAAAACAGAACACAAAGAAATTATTAATCATGTTTCCCTTTGTATATTTACTGTTTTGCTTCTGAAGGGAGTATTAGTCCAGTAAGTGATGCATAATTAGGAGATATGCCAGATGGGTAATCAATGTGATTTTAAATTTTTATGGCTAGAGAACAGAGTTGTAGCTTGGACTTTTTTTAGAAGGCACTTTAGTTCTGTTCAGTTAAAAACAAATATTTTGTATTAGAAGGATGCAATCTTCCATGAAATAATGTTGAATATGTTCTTAAATCCACCTTCTATTTTTTTAAAAATGGATGGAATAAAAAAGCTGAATGGGTCCACCAAATGGAGGGAAAAGCTCTCACACAGAGACAGGAGCCGAGGCTCCCTGCAAGCAAGGACTGGGAGCTTTATTCATTCATCATCATCATCATCATCATTATATTAAAAAAAAAAACACATAAATTCCACTTCCCTTCCTTTGTTTCCCAATCAGCTGAGACTGACTGACTCTTTCCATTCTCAGGCTAGAAGGAAATCTAAAGGAAATGTTTTCTGAATTTCATATTTAAGCAAAGTGAGTGAGACTTCAGCCAAAGGGGTCGCTGCTCTGCCAGTTCGATAGCCTTGGTGATGAGAACAACTTGTGTGTGTGCGTGTGTGTGTGTGTGTGTGTGTGCGCGCGCATGCACACGGGGTCAGTCATGTCTGACTCTTTGTGACCTCATGAACTGAAGCCTACCAGGCTTCTCTGTCCATGGAATTTTCCAGACAAGAAAACTGGAGCGGGTTGCTGTTTCCTACTCCAGGGGAATCCTCCCGACCCAGGGATCAAGCCCATGTTTCTTACGTCTCCTGCACTGGCGAGTGGGTTCTTTACCACTAGCACCACATGCAAAGCCCTTCAACACTCTATGTGTGTCCTTATATAAATCACTTCTTTACATGTTATCATCGTCAAAAAAGCTTCAAAATATTACTGCAGAGCTAATGGTGAGAAGGCAGTTGTTCTTCCCTTTCAACCTCAGTTGGAAGGAGAGGAAGGTGGGGAAGGGGGTGTAGAATCTCAGGACTCCTTTGTCCCCACTAGCGTGAGCCATGGCTGCTAACACACATGACAGTGGGTGTGGACATCATTATTTGCACATATTCTTCCTCACAAAGTGGACGAGATTTATGTCAAGTTGCTCATCCAAAAGCAACATTTGGAACTTGACTGGGATTGCATGACATTTATAAAATAACTTGGGGGACGAGTCAACATCTTTACTTAGTTGAATCTATCAATCCAAGTGTGTGGGGTAGGTCTACACTTCTTCTAGTCTTTTTCTTGGTCCCTTAACTCTGTGTATACTATTTTTTAAATGAGCTTTTCCTTTTTTACTTGACACCTGTATATATTCATTCACAATAGATCCAAACCATGCCAAACACATAGGCGTTTGTTTTGTTTCTTTGACAGCTTTTTCTCCAGTCGTGCTGAACTCTCAGGCCCACAGGACCTGTGGGTGTCTGCCACATGTTCCTGCCTCTGCTCATGCAGTTTCTCTGTGCAGAAAACTTTCCCTGAATTTCTGGAGGATGCTGATGGATGCTGTTGCTGCCTCTGCTCCGCTGCACACCGCCACACCCCAGGCAAGTAGTGTCCTCTGCATCACCACTGGGATGATCTTGAAAAACAAAAATCAGATCATGTTACTTCCCCCTCTAAGACTTCCAAAGGCTTCTATTGCCTTTGCAAAAATCCAAACATGTTTCAAGACCCACAGGGCTCCTGCCCATTTCTCTGACCTCATCTCCTGAACTTTTCCTCCTTGTTCATGATGCTTCAGTCACACTGGCCTTCTTTCAAGCCCTGAACATTCCAGCCCTGTCCATCCTTTGATACATTGGCTGTTGCTTCTTCCTGTGGTCCTGGGATGCTCCTGCCTCAGATATTGATCATGTGGCTAACTCCTCATCATGTGGACACCAAACAAATGTTTTATTTAATTTTGATTTTGAGAGTTCTGTTGTGAACCCTAATAGAAAGTGATACTCTCCATACACCCAGTCACTCCCCATTCTCTTTTTAAGACTTTATTGCTCATTCCTTACAACTGGCTATTTTCTTATTTGCTTTTTTTAATTTTCTATTTTCTACTTACCTACCACACACTAAAATGCAAACTCCAGGAGAGCAGAGACTTTGTCAGTGGCTGTTATCTCCCCACCCCTACAAAGGCACTAATGTTAAAGATATATTTTAACTATTAAGAATATATTCATTGCTCAGGATATATGTTAATTTGATTTTACAATGCATTTTGGAGACTTTGCTATAAGTAAATCCAGAATCTCTGCAGAGATACCCAAATGAACAAACAGTCTCCTTCCTTGAAGGAGGATGCTTTTAGTGAGATAAAAGAACTTGTAACAACACAGTAAGGAAATGGATTTGAACAGTGTTAGAAAGGATGATATGTGAGGGCAGTTATGGGACATCCATACTATGGCTGTGGTTGGTCTAGCATCGTGGAAAACATTCTTTGCTTTTTCATAGTAAACCATTACTGACTAATCACACTTGAATTCATTTAAACACAATTAGGATGAAGTTAACATTCCTGCCCTCCGCCCCCCACTGAAAGAAGTCATGGTAATTTGATCTATAATTCAGAAGCAAACCCAGAGGATATATGAGGCTTTCTGAGGGAAAATCCCTGGTATGTTCTCAAAATGAATGTAGCTTGAATGAGATCAAAAGCTTCTCATCCTGGTGGTGTAGTCCTAAAGAATCCACCGCCTGCCAATGCAGGAGACACAAAAAACGTAGGTTCCATCCCTGGGTCGGGAAGCTCCCTTAGAGTACGAAATGGCAAACTGCTCCAGTATTCTTGCCTGGGAAATCCCATGGCCTGAGGAGCCTAGTGGCTATTGTCCTTGGGGTTACAAAGAGCCGAACGTGACTGAGCATGCGCATACACACACACACACACACACACACACACACACACGCACACGGCAGCGGGCTGCCCTGGCTCATCACACGTTCCCGTGGCTGAAATAGAATCGAAATCTGACTCAGCACACAGCATGTACATTGCCACTTCTCGCTTGACGCCAGTGCTTGGAGCCTATTAGCTTGGAGTTGGATAATGTTTCTAGCAGGATGGTGCCAGAGTATGGAGGGCCAGGTGAAAGATCCTAGGTTGACTAAGTGTGGAAGTCTCAGAACCAGGAGGTGGAAGATGGGCAATGAATGGGCATAAAGAGAAGCCCTTCAGATTCCAGGCAGCATAGGGGTGTGGGCATTACTGCAGGGCTTCATCAGTGCCTGAGGTCTACCAGGAGTTTACCAAATGTTAGTCTAACAAATGAATCAGTGATCCTAGGTTTGAGTAGAAACCATCTGAGATAATTTTCATTTTCCTAGAGGGAGAATGAAGGTATAACACCTGGCTTGCTGGAGACTAAGAACCCAGTGCTCTCAGTAGCAGTGGGGTGCAGTTTTCTGACCCCAGCCTGCAATATCATTTCTTGAAGTTCAAGGCCATCTTCATGAAGATGTGATTACATGAGCAGTGTCTCAAGTGGCCAGTTAAGTACCAAGTATTTCGTGAAGGAGTGGGAGCCTGCCTTATCTCCATGGTCACAGACTGGGGAAAAGTGGCCATGGTTTGGCTTTTCTGGGTCACAGTCTTCATTCTGCATTCTGTGAATCTAGCAAACGGCTCTGGACTGTGTCGTTTCGTCTTCCCTCTCCTCCTCAGCCGTCCCAGATCTTGTCTGAAGAAAGTCAAGGAGCTGTTCCCCGACCCCTCCCCAACACTTCTCATTGCCATTCTGTCAAGCAGTGGCCAAGTTCAGAGTTCACGGGAAGGCCAGCTCTGTGAGAAACGTGGAGTCAGTGGCATCTATACCTTGTCACAGCAGGCCAGGTCTCTGGGCATAATTTTCCACTAGGCTGAGTCTATTCCTTTGTAAACCTATGTCCAAAATATAGCTAGAAAAATTATTCAAATGCCAGCGAGTGTAACATGGGGACCCTTGATCATCCTCCTGGGTTTCACGTTGTCTCCTCTGCATGGTTTCCAAGTGTCCCTCATGAATTCTTAGTAGATGTTCATCACAGTGCCTTAACTTTAGACCATTCAACTGTATCTAGATGGCTCAGAAGATCCATTCCTCTGAAATATACAGCTTTTATAGGGCTGGCATCCAACATGAAAAAGAGTTGAACTTTATGAACATTGTGATCAATTATCTACTGTTCTGGAATCTCCATTCTCTTTGATCCACTCCCCTTAATTCCAACGACCATAGGCCCTCCGTAGTGACATACTAGTTAAACTTATCCTGGGACAGAGATCTTTCCACTCACTCTCTACTTACTTACCCCTAACTGTATTGTGTACTATCATATCAGATTATCAAAATAGCTGATATACGAAACAACTCACACTAAGGTGCAAATAATATCTGGCTATAAAAGTATGTGATAACTCTTCCATATGACATACTTAAAATTTTACTAAGCCCTCAAACCCTTAATTAAGGAGAATATTAAATGATGGAATTTCAGCTACTAAGAGAGGGCTACTGTAGGTGTTTCTGAGATCATGCTGTTTTGGACATTGTTTAGCTGCAGTTGTGTATACACAACTTATCATTTTTATTTGTAAACTATCCAAACTGTTAAAAAAAAATTCAGCTTAAAATTGAGCTGTATAAGATGTTCATAAACTGTCTTTGGCAAAGCTTCTGAATGGTGATTAGAGAAATTTTTGTGCAAAATCAGTGAGAATAGACTTAAAGGGAAATTTGCTAATGAGATGCCCTCTGTGGGTAGCTGTGGATAGCTGTTTCTATCACCACACACACCTGGGCTGCACTTGCATGGCACTCAAGTAGGGAAGGCTTATGATTCCATTGGCTTTCGGCAGCTAACAGCAGTTAACTCTGCGACATGGGTTTTACATCAATGGCCAGACAAAGCCAGAAACAGGATCTCCACGTGTGAAAACAGTACTTTTTTTGTAACTTTTGTCAATTTTAGTTTTTACTTTATAGGAATTTTGAATCTGACCTTCTACCATGTTTAAGGAAAAGAAGAGTCCACAAGATCAGTTTCACTGGCAAATCTTCAACATACTCAACAAATAGCGTCCTCTTCTACTCTTGAGCAAACGACATTCATCTCAGTTGAACCATATGAAACTGCTGTTTCAGGAAGTCAAAAACGGTTGAATATCAGCAATTTCATGTGGTTAACCTAATCTGTTGTTGCACACCCTGAGAATAATGGAAACCATCCCACCTAGCGTGAATCCGTTTGAGCCAGGGGAAGCAATGCCATGGCCATTCACACCACATTTTCTTGGTAAAATAGATCAGTATTAAAGAAATTAACATTATGCTTGCTCTAAGTGTTGCTTTTTAATAAATCTCTCTAGTAAAGTGAGTTTCTGAGTCAGTGTGTGTTTGTTTTTTTAATTGGCAGGAACTTGCTTTATAATGTTGTGTTGCTTTCTGCCATATAACAACTTGAATCAGTCATAATTATATGTATGTTCTCTTCCTCTTGAGCCTCCCTCCCTTGCCCCATCCCACCCCTCTAGGTCATCACAGAGCACCAGGCTGGGGCTCCCTGTGTTAGACAGCAACTTTCTATTGTTTTACACATGATAGTGTATATATGTCAAGGCTACTTTTTAATTTGTCCTACCCTGAGCTTCCCCTGCTATGTTCACAAGTCTGTTCTCCACTGGGTTCATCAGTACCCGTTTGCTAGGTTCCATATATATGCGTTAATATGAGATACTTGTTTTTCTCTTTTTGATTTACTTCATTCTGTATCAGAGGCTCTAAGTTCATCCACCTCACTACAGCTGATTCAAATTCCTTTTTATGGCTGAGTAGTCTCAGTCAATGTTATGGCCATGGCCCAAGTTTTTATTTAGCCTTTCTATTTTAATAATTAGAACTCAGAGCCACCATTACAATATGCTGTTGGCAACTTGGAACATGAGGACAGGAGTCTCCAGAATGGGAACTTGTTGACCTGAGGGAAATCCACCATCCAGGTAGATATGGAGAGGATAATTCAGTGGTCTGGGATACTGGTGGGGTATGAGAACCTCAGCCCTAACTCTGAATAATGTTGGCCCTAAGATATCTAATCAACTGTTTTGAGTATAAAAGCAAGGCATTAAGGTGTGAGTCAAATCCTATGAATTGAACTGGTTTTCAGTTTTTATCCAGGTATCTTCCTGAGGGTGGCTGATGCATGTAGTTAAATCTCGAGGCAGATGGGAAAGGGTGTAAGTCCAGAAAAGAGATGGGCGGCATAAAAGCAAGGGGGAGTCATAAGCCTTAGTTGGGTTGAGGGTGTGTTTTCTGGTCCTGGAACTAGAGTCCTCAGCAAAGGAGGCAAAGAGAATTAAGGCTTCTTCCTCTTAAGTTTGAAGAGGCAGATATCCCGTTCTAGGATGAAACCAACACAGTAGGCAGGTTCAGCTAGAGCTTCAGAGCTTTTCAAGCATCAGAATCTTTCTCAGCAGATTCAAGGCCTAGATAATTTTTGGCTAGAGACCTGGAAGGGAGACCTAAGACCAAATAGGTGGGTCTGGGTCACAGGACTCAGAGTCT